AAACAAAAAAAAAAAAAAAAAAAAAAAAAAAAAAAAAAACCAAGAGAAACAAAATAAAGGCAAGTATATAAAAAAAGAGAAGAATACAAGAGATTTGTCATACTTAGGAAAGTATTCTGGCTCGTATTCATGCATATTTAAGGCGGCCTGGCAAAGTAACAGACAATGGACAGTCATTTGCTTAGTTGGGGCTGGGCGTGAATATTTTGACAGGACGTTTACTTATTGTACACACTGTGCACACGGCATGGCACGGCACGGCTCGGCGCGCTGGCATTTCAAATGCATTCAGCATTCAAAAGTTATGCGACTGTCAGCCTGTCGTCTGCCATACGATTTGCATTGTGTGTGTGTGAGTGTGTGGGTGTGTGCAAGTGAAGCCGCTCCAGTTTCCGGGAGACCCCAATGTGTCAGCAGCCATGTAATCAGTCAGCCGCCAGCAGCAGTGACAGCAGTTGGAAACAGCAGAAACTGTAGTTAGATCTGAGTGGCAGGCAAACAAATCAATTAGCTGGCTAAATGGCTTATCGGGCCCTAAGCCCAAAACCTAGCCCAACGGCATATCCTGTGGCTAAGACGCTTTTAAAGCAGCCTAGGCGACTTTAAGCATACATTACGTATAATACGCATACGCACCGAATTGACAAATGAGGCGACAGCGCGAGAGCCAACAGTGCGTATACTTAATATTGCGTATAGCCCACATATGGCAGCAGCAGGCAACAGACAAACAGACAAAGTAATAAAAATAATTACCAAAAATAAGCAAAAAACGACCAAAGAAACAGAGCGGAGAGAAGAGAAGAGAAGAGAGAGAGAGAGAAAGAGAGAGGGGCGAGAAATTTTAAAATCCACAACGCTATAACCGAATCACTTTTAATTATGGCGCAAGAACTGCAGCTGGCCTTGCCTTGTCCTTTGCCGCAGAGCCGCAGCGACAGGATAAAGGCATACAAAATGATTTATTTATACGCTGCGTATACGCAACAACTGCGAAATCAGCTCACACATACATACATATGCATACAGACTGTGTGTGCTGCGTATTACAGCCAGATTGTGGAAATCCACACACTTTAAGTAGGCAACGTGTGACGCATTGACATTAACATTTTTGATAAGCCACATACTTGCGGTTGCTACATATAATTAATTCGATTTTCTTATCAAATTGAAGCCGATTAGTCATTGCTTGACTCACGAAAACTATGTTTAGCTGCACAAATCGAAATTCAACTCAAGTGTGAGTGGAATTTGCTTTAAATCCACTTACTAAATTACTAAACCCATTCTATAGAGTGTATTTGTATTTGATCTTTAGCAGCTGCAAGATTATTTGCAAATACCCTGTAAGCGGAGGGGGGTATATAGATGAATGATGGATGGGTTTGGTACGTAATGCAAGAGAAAGTTCTGGAATCGGCAGCTCAGTTATAATTCTATTGATTTATATACATTTATATAAAAATTGATGGATAGCTGAATTTTATTTAAAAAGTGGAGTATTTCGACAAGAAAGAAGTCAAAGAATATTAAGCAATGTCTTTAAAATTTAAGAATGTTATATTAAATGAACCTCAGCTGCTGCTGTCTATAAAACCTGAAGAGCAATAAACTTCCACTCGCTAAGCTCTCCAAATTACAGGATATCTGCCAGTCACGTACAGCGACAACAACCCCTTTGGCTGTGCCATTTCAGTTTGGAAATTGCTGTGAGAAGAGTTTTGTGTGCCATTTGTTGGAGGCAGTGTCTGAAATCCAGCACAGCTCTCGCTCTACCTAGTTTGCCTATTAAACGTCGAGCTGTGCGCTTCATGGTTCCCAGCTCGGCTTTGGCTGTCTGTCAGTCATTAGTACATTTAATAGAGCTGACATGCTGGAGCCATGGCAACAACATGTGTCGTTTTTTGAATGGTATTTTTTATGTGAGGCACACACACTAGCGCACACTCGCAACTCAATTGGGGCGCGCAAGTGCATTTCGTTGTAGAGCTGCTGAATTAATTGTTTGCAAATGATTTTGCCGCCAAGTCAAAGGCAAGAACAAAAAGCCAGCTGCCTGGCTGGGGCTGATGGCAGCGCAGCCCGGCTAAGCCGACATCGTTTAATGGCAGGCCACAAATTAAATTTCATGCCCGGCTCGCGCACACACACACACATACACACAGAGAGAGAATCTAACACACAGTTGAGCGCATTTTCGCAATGAAACCAAATACCTGTACAGAAACAATTTTTCGTTGAATTCTGCGCAGATGTCAAAAGGGATAATGAGCCCAGAGCTGGAAAATCAGCTTAGGCTCTGCATAACATTTGAATATATATATTATATATATGTACATATATATCTTGATAGCTCTCTCATCTCACTTTCCTTTTGGGCTGGCTGAAATTGACAATTGGTGGGCGAATTGATTTTGTTTAAAGCGCTCGGCAGAGCTTATGGTGGCGTCTTAGCAGCATAATTTGAATTTGAAAGTGCACAACAAAAATATATACATATACATATAGATATTTTGAGCTTATTATGATTACATTAGAAATTTAAATTCGAGCCTAAAATGATGCTCGACTGGCTTTTCGAACATGATTAAAGCGAAGCATCGAGCGCTAAGTATTAGCAAAAATTTTAGCCTTAGCAAGGCTGCTTAATCGGCTGAGCAGATGCTTCCAAGTAAAGATATAAAAAATAAATTGAAAATCTGTAAAAGTACATAGAAAATATATTTTTTAATACATTACGAAAAAACATTAAAAAAAAAAAATAATAATAACTAACTACAAAACGGATTTTCATAAACATTCATAGCAAATGAAGTAAAGTGGGCATTATAATAATTTAAATCATGAATATATTTATATATAAATACATTTTGTATATGATCTGAGCACATCGACATGGGAATGCACTCAAAAATGCAATTGCAAAATAAAATAATGTGAGCTGAATATATTTTTGTGGATGACCTGTTGACCGTTAGCTGCAGGCGCAACAACAAAGCCAAACAAAACAAAACAAAACAATTAAAAGGCAAATTTTCGATTGTCGTGAGGGCCATGAATATTCATGAAGTGCTGCGCGACGAATTTAATAATTGAATAGCTTGAATATAAATGCGACCACAAATGGCCAGCAGAGCACACAGAGCCAGTTAGCCACTCTGTCTGACTGTCGGTCGATCGGTCGGTCGGTCGGCTAGAGGTTTGCTCTGGCCGTGTCTAGGCGCCAGTAAGCCTAAAGTACACAGAACACACACACACAGAAAGAGAGTCGGTGCTCGCTGGCATCACCCTTCGGCACCTTCATGCACCACTCTGCACCGCTGGACATGTCTAAATTAACAAATGAATTATTTAGTGCCAACACTTTCGGTGGAGCAAGGCTTTGCATTTGCACAGCAATGCGAATTAGGTGCGAAATGTGTCCACGCGGGGGATTACCCTAAATGCGAAACTATGTAATTTGGCTAAAAGCGTTCAACAACCCAATGTCTGCCCAGCTGAATAAACTTGCACCTTAAAGCGCGGCCAACTGTGAATTAAATTAAATTAGCGTAATTCCAGAAAATTTAAGATTTTCCAAGGCAAAGCTAAAGAACTTTCCTTACTCTTTCTCTGACCAAAGGCAGCTTGAACAAGTATTTTGGGTCACAAGCACACCTATGCACATGTATGTATGTATGTACATATATGTTTTGCTGATTGCCTCTTCAGTGTGCCGCATCAGATGTGCTCAGTTTTACGACTGTTTTTGCTCGCCATGCGGCACATTGCGCTCTTCTTTTAGCTGCTGTCAGTCATGCTCATATAGGAATTCAAAACGCCAGAAGCAAACAGGAACAGCACTCGCTCCCTCTCTCTCTCTCTCTCTCTCTCTCTCTCTCTCTCTCTCTCTCTCTC